GATGCAGAACTACGGTCCTGTTAGATACTCAGCAATAAGATGCCACTTTTGTGTAAAACATCTTACAGATATAGGAGTTATCATTAACAGTGACAGACCATAGGGATACCTCAGAATCTGTATAAAACTATATTGGCACTTTGTTCTGTAGTTTCATTGGGCCAATATGGAACTAAAGAACTTGATTGAGTCTGTTATGTGTACTTGCAAAGGGGAGAGAATTCCTAGTTTCTTCCTGCACATTTCTATTACTGTCTTCACAAGGGAAGTGTGGAAAAGAACTGTGTATTATCTCTTATTTTGCTTTTCTGTTCTTATAGCTTTCATCCATACTGGACAGGAGTCTGGGTGCCAGCACTGTTATTGTGCAGACACAAATATACAACACCTTAAAAGTGGCACTTTTGTGAAGAACAATTGAGATTGTGCCTATTTTTTTCTTATAATTGAGAAAATTTGCACTTTTTCTTCAATAGGAATATCTAGTCAACTTAAGCCCAGTCAGTGCATCCTGGTTAGATGGGTTGTTTCATATTTTCATCAAGTTTTAACATACTTTACTCATTGCACACAGTGTCCCTTCCTATATCCTTTAGATCCTGCTAAATTTGGCTTAGGGTGGAATGTACCAACCTTCTTTTTGGACCTCACATAAATGATTTATCTTGTAAATTAAGACTATGGGCTCTCATTTTGTATACTATATATTTGAATATAGTATAGAAAATTCTCAAAATTCTAGATCCTCAAACTTTTTTTTAAAGGATGCAATTTGTTTAAAAATGTTATCTGGTTTAATGATGGAGGAGAGCCGTTTTTTACCCTTTTCCTATATCATTTCCTCCTTTCCTCTTTTCAAACACTCCTATATGGTCTGTAATGATTTCTTTCTAATCACTTCCCTTTTTCTTTGTCATATATGACTGAGTCAAAATGTCTCCATAGAGAGCTATAATATCTTTTTCATCACTCTCCCTTCATAGACACCCAGTAACTGTCCTGTCTAGAAGTCATTCTGGGATACCTATGATCTTCATGCACCCATTGCCCATACTCTCCAGAATGATGGCTTTTATTCTTGTAGTTAGTGAACCAGTCAACAGTGAACAGCAAGGAATGCCTCTGCTCCCTGTAGCATTTGCTTAAGGCAAAATGTGGCCTCCCTCTTCTATCACAGGCAGATGAAGAAATGCACTGAATTTGAGTTTTGTAGACACCGGCATTATGTGTTGCTCTAGATTCCTCCTCACCTGATCAATTTTCATTGTCCAAGATTTCTCAGCATTCCCTCAGTTTCCCCATGTGTTTCAAAGACTGAGGCTCTGATGTATCAATAGCCACTGTAGTCTTAACCTTGTAAATACTGCTATCTTATCATGGAACTTGCTTTCACCCTCCCCAGACATCAGTAGAATCACTTGTTTCACAGACTTAGAGTTCTGATCAGACCCTCCTGTGCTTCACTGGTTCTCAGTGTCTCCTCTTTCATTGGGTAGAGGGTGGTTTTTAGAGGTTTGAGGCCACACATGGTTGTGCTGCATTGGCTGCTGCTTCCAGCTGACTGCTTTGATTGCAGTTTCTCTTGGGTTCTGCCTCTTGCTCATCAGAATATGTAAGAGAGTGACTGATACATGACAGCAGTCTGAGTAATTACTAGCATCCTCTTGTTGGGTCCATTGTCTACTCTTTTGTGTTTGCCCCTAGACATTTCCCTTTTCTTGTTTTGAAAACAAGAGATGGGGAGAGTAGACTCGAGACTCTTTCTACCCTTTGTTTCCATTTATAACTCTATTAATCAAATTTCTGCGTCTTGTCCTTTATTACTTATTGACTGCAAGGTTCACTTGCTGTTCTGCGCTTTTCACAGTTTGATTACATGGATCATGTTTTTTTTTTCTTTTTGTGGAGAATTAGTAGAATACTGCTTGCCTTAATTCTACCACTGTACTGATATCAACAAATATTTATTGAAATAAAGAACTATTTATCCTTGATATTATTAATGAATCTTAATACACTATATATAATTCAGATGTGATAGTTCATTATCATGATATGAAAGTTCCACAAGACATATAACACAATAAAACACCAGTTCAATTGAGTTAAAACACATGGAAAAAGTCTGAGAGAAAATTAGAGGGTATTTTGAAGAAAAAAACAAATGCTTTTGTTGAACTGAGACAAATATTCTTATTTTTTATTTTGATTCATTTAAACATATCATTTTAATTTGTGAGTACTCTGAGATGTAAAGGAAATATGCCAACACATTACAGCAAAATCCCAAATGCTTCTCATTCACTATGAACGTGTTGAGCTATATGATTTCACTTTAGCTTGATATGTATGTTAGGCATAAGGATCCAACATCAGAGTTCAAAAGATTTTACATTTTGTTTGTATTTCATCAGTTTTCACATATTTTACAAGATCAATGCATTGAACCTTGCCTCAGGTTGAAAGAAGGTGAATGTAGGACCTTGGCAGCCACAGAAGCAAGGGAAGGCAATACCTGTCCTGATGGACAAATGTTTAGGGACCATGGTTAAAGTGGGATTCTGGCCCATGGAGTATGTGCGCTACTTAATTTGCAATATCTTATAATATTCATAGGCTATATTGAATGGCCCAAAGGTCAACATCATAAACATGGATGCTGTATAAATGTCTGCATTTTTATGGGTGTTGGTGTTTCCAAGCCAAAGGTCAAAGATTTGATCTTACCGCAAAGATAGATTTAGCTCCAGAGGTGAGATACAGGCTCAGATCTGGAGGGACAAAATGTGGGTGCCTGGTCTCACTACAACTTGATATATCATGGCTAGCTGATATCAATGGGATACCTGCTTGTGTATGAAGAGAAACAGCTGAGGAGGAATGGATGGGAAGAGGGAAAGCAGGGGGCTGTTAGGAAGAAGGCATGGATAGCAAGCTTTGGTTAGAATGTATAAACAAGAAAATAAAATTTAAAAAGTATTAAAAGCATTTGAATCTGCAATTTAAATATACGCTTAAATCAGAATTCACTGTCTTCTACTGTATAATAAACATTAGTTGGTAGTGGATACTCTACCCTTCCAAGTAGAAAAGCCTCAAGTAAACTATAAGCATCATTACATCACAGCAAATCAAATCACTGTCTAAGGAATTGGGTACAAGATACATACAATTACAAATTCAAATGGTAAGGGTCCACCATTAGAAACTCCTTGGGAAGCAATAGCAGACTACATGGATTCTTCTTCTGCTTTGAAGAATTTATGCTATAAGATGGTGGAATGATGTGCTCAAACTTAATACAGGGGAAAGGGCTTGGCCTTGCCTCAACTTAATGGGCCAGGTTTTGTGAACCCCCATGGGAGCCCTTATCTGGTGGGAGGAGTGGATGGTGGGTGGCTTGAGGAGAGGAGTGGTACACAAGGAGGGGTGGAAGGGAGAACTTTGGATGGAATGCAAGATAAAATAAAAAATAAGCTGTCTTGGTCCTACCCCCACACGGAGAGGTGTGTGTCAGATTTCTCCTCCCCACCTTTCCTTCTTTGAGTCCACTGATCTGTGGTCCCTAGACAGCTACTGAATCCCTCAGAGACGAGGCCTGGGAAGTCTATGGGGCCTCTGGCAGTAAACCATTATTTATCCCTAGTGCAATAATGGACTTTGAGAGCCCATTTATCCTTGGAGGGGTATTCTTTCAGCCTAGATACACAGTGAAGGACCCAGGCCCTGCCCCAAATGATGCGACAGACTTTGATGATCCCCCCCATGGAAGGCCTCACTCCACCTGGGGAGTGGATGGGTGGTGGAATGGGGGGTTGGTGGGTGGCATGGAGGGATGGGAGGGACAGGGAACTGGGATTGATATATGAAACAAGATTGTTTCTAATTTAAATAAAAAGAAATTGAAAAATAAACTAACAAAGTTTTTAAAAAGATTGTCAATGAGATCCATTCTCTGAGGAATTCACACCACTCTCCAAGGTTTGTATGTATACTGAAGATTTAGGGGAATATTACTCTACCAGGCCTCCTACCTGGTGGTTGTAGGAGCAGGCATTTGTAATGTAGGAGTTTAAGCTGTCCTATTTGCAATGGCTGTTCTTCAGGAGTAAGTACTTTAACAGCTTCTTATCTGAGCTTTGTAAAAACCTAACTGACTTGAATGACTATGACCATCCAGATGTACTTTTTTCCTTTCCACATTGAGAAAGGGACGTAGGATTATATGAAGAGAACCTTAACAAGGCTGGACTTGTCAACATTCAGTCACAGATGAGGGAGGGTGTCCATGGACCTCTGCCTTTTCTAGGAAGGCATTGGCAGCAGAGAGACATTGAAGCAGGGTAAGTCATTATCTTTGGTGGCTTAGACACTGGCAATTGCCTTTGCTCCTGGGATCACTATACACATGGCCATATGTGTATCCAGGTCAAACTGAATGGGTTACTAACAACTAAACAAAAAGAAATGAAATGGGAGAGTGAGTTATTGGGAAGAAAGTTTATAGCTGTTGGAGGAAAATAAGAGAGTTTGAGATGTGAATGTGATCAAAATCTCTCAGATATTTGCATGAAAAAGAACTTAAAGAGAAAATAAAAACATGATACTTAACAATTTATAGCCACAAAGGTTCAAGGTCTGTAGTTTAAAGCATTTCCATTCACATGTGATTAGACTACAGTGAGGACTACTGAGTGTTCCATGATGATTTTACTGGGACTCCTATCATGAAGTAACATGTACATTTAAAGAAAGAAATGTTAGGCCACTAGTTCTTAAGTCATGCTAATTACTAACTGCCTGCTTCTTCTTTAGATTGTTTAGAACACTTTGCTGCCTCTGGACATTTTTAGTGTTATACTGGGAGGAGAAGAGATTTATTCACTAAGTTTATTGTGTTTACTTAGAGTCTCCATTCTCCTTGGGTGTTGGTGGTTAACTAAATATGATGCAGGACTTGAAAGAGAGCCTAATAAGAGGCACAGCAGGTAGGACTCAAGGAGGTTTCTAGTTAAATTTAATGGGAAAACAAAACACTTGCTACTAAGTCCAAGAATTCATCCAATGCGTAGATGTATTTGCCTTTGAAATTTTCCTGTTGATCCTCAACTCCAGTCCCTTCAGACCTGTAGGCTATGCTACTGAAGTTTACTGGCTCCACTTGATGTTTGTGAGAACACAATTTTTTCAGGACAGTGAAGACTGTAGACAGGTCTAACATGTTTTGATTAAAATTGGTCAGGTCTTCAGATGATCTTTCATCTCGATGGGAGGCCCAGAGTTTCCTCTCCAAGGCTCCCCTGTTATTTCTTTTCCCTTGGCGGTCTACCTTGTCCAAAACAGCCTTGATATTTGTCAGGTGAACAGCAGATAAGATGATTTCTTTCTGAGTCTGTGTCAAAATTTGAGGTGGAGAAATTTTTTTAAAACAAGGTTTACAGTAAGAAACATAATACCTATCATATGTACTTGTGCAAAATGCAGTAAAATGGAAAGAGAGGGTGAATACATTACTCATTCTAGACCAAAAAAGAACACTGGCTCCTTGGCATCGGGAGTTATACAGGATTTGACTCAGTGAAAGAGCCAGAGTTCTACTGTATTCTACCAGGACTATTTCACAGATTAGGAGCACTTTCTCCAGGAATTCTCAACATCCAGGTTTCAGGTATTAACACACAAAAAATCTTCCAGTCTGTTTGAGGTCAGTAAATTGATCTAGTGAAGAGGCCATTTCTCAATTTGTGCAAGTTAGTGATATATACGCTATTTATTAGCACTGTTTAGAACTGACACATTATCTTGTAGATGTATGTGAGAATCAAGTACAGGTGTAAACAATTTTGAATTGTCTGAACAAGGTCTAAAGATGATTTTCCACACCAGTGTCTTCTATTGTATAATAAACCTTTGTTGGTAGTGGATACTCTGCCCTGCTAAGTAGAAAACCTCAAGTAAACTAAAAACATCATTGCATCATGGCAAATCACTGTCTAAGAATTAGGCACAAGATACAGACAATAAGAAATGCAAATGTCAAGGACCCACCATCAGAAAGCTCCATAGGAAGCAGTAGTAGACTATGGATCTTTCATCTGCTTTGAGGACTCTATGCTATAAGATGGTGAGATGAAATGCTTAAACTTAATACAGGGGGAAAGGCTTGGTCTTGCCTCAACTTAATGATCCAGGCTTTGTCAACCACCCATGGGAGCTCTTACCTGATGATAGGAGTGGATGGTAGGTGGGCTGGGAAGGGGAGTCAAGGGGCACAGAGGGACGATTGGGAGGGAGAACTGTGGATGGAATGCAAAACTGAAATAAAAAAAAACTTCAAAACATAAAAAAAAGATTGTCAAGGAGATTCATACTCTGAGGAATTCACCAACACTCACAAAGGTTGGTATACTTAGAGAAGATTTAGGGGAATATAACTTTATCAGGCCTCCAAGAGTACATGGTGGTGGTGTAGGAGCAGCCATTTGTAATGTAGGGTTCTATTTGCAAAGGCCAGTCTTCAAGAACAAGTACCTTACCAGTCCCTTATATGATATTTGTAAGAACCGAACTGACTTGAGTGAATATGACCATCCAGTTCAGACTTACTTTTCTTTTCCACATGGTGAAAGGGACATAGGATTGCATGAATAGAATCTGGACAAAACTGGACTTGTCAATATTCAGTCATAGATAAGAGAGACCTTGGCTCTCTCTAGAAAGGCATTGGCAGTTAAGAACTATTAAAGGAGGGGGAATCACTATCTCTCCTTGGTGATTGCCTTTGCTTAAGGGATCACTATACATATGACCATGTGTGTAGTTCAGGTCAAACCCAGTGGGTGACTAACAACTAGACAAAAATAAACACTAATCAGGAGAGTGAGTTATTGGGAAGACAGTGAGATGTGAGTGTGATCCAAATCTATTAGATACTTATATGAAATTATCAAAAAAGAACTTAAAGGGAAAAAAACCTTCAGAGCTAATAATTGATAACTATAAAGGTTCAAGGTCTGAAGCTTAAGATATTTCCATTCTTATTTGATTAGACTACAGTGAGGAAAATCGAGTGACCCATGATGATTTTACTGGGACTTCTGCCATGAAATAACATGTACATTTAAAGAAAGAAAGGTTAGGCCATTAATTCTTAAGTCATGCTAATTACTAGCTGCCTGCTTCTTCACAGCTTGTTTAGAACTCATTCTTCGCTGCCTCTGGATATTTTCAGCATTTTACTGGGAGGAGGAGAGACTTATTTACTAAGTTTATTGTGTTCATTTAGAGTGTCCACTCTCCTTGTGTGTTGGTTAACTAAATATGATGCAGGACTTGAAAGAGAGCGTAATAAGAGATACAGCAAGTAGGACACCAGGAGGTTTCTAGTTAAATTTAGTAGGAAACCAAAGTAATCCTCACTAAGTTCAAGAATTTGGCCAATGTGTAGATGAATATACATATGGAATTATCTTTCTGATGGAAAATTTCTGTCCCTTCAGGTCTATGGTCCTTGCTACAGAAGCTTTCTGGGTCCACTTGGCTCCCGTGAACATACAATTTTTTCAGGATAGTCAAGACTCTAGAGAGCTCTGACATGTTTTGACTAACATTGGCCAGGTCTTCAGATGATCTTTCGTCTTGATGGGAGGCAGAAACCACCCTATGCAAGTCCTCTGTGTTAGTTCCTTTATATTGGCTGTCCCCCTTGTCCAATTCAGGCTTGACATTTGTCATGTGATCAGCAGAGATGGTGGGCTCTTTCTTAGTCTGAGTCACAACCTGAGATTGAGAAAATTTATTATAGCAAGAGTTATAGAAACACACAGAAGACTTATCTATTTGTATTTGGGCAAGATGCAGTGAGATGGGGATAGGTTATCAGCTTCAGACTCATTCTAGACCACAAAGGAACACTAGCCCCTTGATATTGGGAGTAATATAGAATTTGACTCAGTGAATGAGCCAGAGTCCCACTGTATTCTACCAGGATTATTTCACAGATTAGGAGCACATTCTCCAGGGGTGCTCAACATCCAGGTTTCAGGTATGAACACAAAAAAATTCTTCCAGTCTGTTTGAGTTCAGTAAATTGATCTAGTGAAGTGACTGTTTCTCAATTTGTGCAAGTTAGTGATAGATAAACAACTGATGAACTATTAGCTCTGGTTCAAATTGACACATTATCTTGTATGAATCAGAGGATCAAGTGCAGGTATAGTACAATGCTTGTGAATTGTCTGAACAAGGTCTAAAGATGATTTTCTACAACAGTGTGGGGGCCTATGGGTAACAGAATGTTTTAAGCATATGGAAAGAGTATATAATGAACTTAAGTTCATTATATATATTTGCTGCCATTTCAAGGTGAGATATTGATTCCTCCATGACCAAAAAAGATTGTTTTTAGAGTCTCAGTATACAGTATAGTAATTGTCTACTATGTGTATGTCTATCTCCTGTTTTATGGTTCCTCGACCAGGAGGCATTAGTGAGTGGTTCAACAAATATACTTAATGCACTTACCAAATCCTGGTAAAAAGAATGCACATGCTAGTCATCTGTGAGACTGAACTACTGCATTTTAAAACTGATATCAAAATGAATTTATATCAAAACTCAATATGAGTTTTCTTATACAACAAATAATAGTAATTTTCTACCTATTATGCTCTTGCTATACACACACACACACACACACACATATATAATCCTTCTGAAAAGATATTTTTTCTAATGAATATCAGTTGAGTTTTTATTAGGAGGGCAGAAATTTCAACAACATTTGAGAAATATATATATATATATATATATATATATATAAACTATAGCATCGTACAGACTTCATCTTATATGAACGATACATCATCAAATGATTAGTAAGCATTCAAATGACAAAGAGAAGGGAGGCTTTATTTCTGGGATTGCGGAAAGCTTCTTACGCTATATAGTTTAAAGGATAATTTTGACTGTCCTCAGATTAAACTTTCTTTGAGAAAAGGTCCTTTTGTTGCTGCTGGATTCTTCTATCTGTGTGTAGCATTTCACAGTGGATGTATTGCAATCTAAGCTTCATGATGCGCATCTTAGATGTCATAAGGACCATGCATTTGTAGTTCATTTCACCTTTCAAGAGTCCAGTTCTCATATTATACTGGTTGGTATTATGCCTGTCAGTGGTAGAGAATGCACTTTTAAGTGCTTCAAGACTCCAGTAAAAATGCAACCCTCAATAGACCATCTGGATTCCTATACTCTCAAGCAGTGTACCATTTCACAAAGTTGTTTGGTAGATCTGAGATAATTATACTTTTTAAACTTACCCTTCCCTCAGTGAGAATAGAAGACAGCAGCAGAGTAATGAGAAACAACATGACTGGGTAAGAAGACATGTCTGAAAACTAATCAACAAAAAAGTTCAGGTTAGTTAAGCAGTGGGTGGGACATAAAGCTAAACAACACATTGATAGAAATTATGCCAAAGCAAGCATGGCTGACAAATTCATTAACAATTTAAGGGAATAATTGTCATGTGGGTTCCCTGTAGTCTAATAGTGCCTATTTTGTTTCTAATAGGCACAATACCTAAACTAAATAACTTGACTGATATGCCTGATGTGTACTTGGAAAGGCTAGAGATTTCCTACTTTGTTGCTGCACAGTTTTATTACTCTGTCCTCAAAGTTTCAATGTTTTTTCAATTTTTTTTCACTTTGTACCATAGATGATTTTGCAATTCCCTGTTTATAACTTTCATGTGTACTGGACATGAAACAAAGTGCCAGGCTTGTGATTACACAGCTATAAATATATAAATATCTCAGAAATGTCATCTAAAGGCCATTGAAAGTCATGCTAATTTTGGCTTATAGTCATATCAATTTTCACTATTTTTCTTCACCATGAAAATATGAACACAGTCATCGCTTATCAGGTCTATTTAAGCTCATTCATTCCATTTTTTGGTCTAAATAGGTATTTATTTGTTGCTTGTTTGGGGGGATTTTTTTTAAATTTTCTCATTTTTAAAAATTTAAATTAGAAACAAATTTGTTTCACATGTCAACCCAAGCTCCCTCTGCCTTCCCTCCTCCCTGCCTTCTCCAGCACTTCCAATCTCCACTTAGCTCCCCAGGGAGCTCCCCAGGCCCTCTATGGGTGATCTCCATAGTCTGTTATTTCATCCAGGGCAGGGCCAAGGCCCTCCCCAATGTGTGGAGGATGAGAGAGCACCTGTCAATGTGGAATGGGCATTCGTATACCAGGGATAAATACTGATCTACTATTTTAGGCCCATAGATTGCCAAGGCCTCCTTACTGACACCCGAATTTAGGGGGTCTGGATAATTACCATGCTGGCCTCTCATCCATCAGTCTGGGCTCCATGAGTTCCACTTGTTCAGGTCAACTGTTTCTGTGGGTTTCACCAGCCTGGTCTTGACCCCTTTGCTCATAATTCCTCTCTCTTTGTCACTGGGTTCCAGGAGTTCAGTTCAGTGTTTAGCTGTGGGTGTCTTTTCCATCAGGCACTGGATGAAGGCTCTAGGATGGCATATAAAGTAGTCCTCAATCTCATTATTGGGGAGGGGCTTTTAAGGTAGCCTCTCCACTATTGCTTAGTTTGTCAGTTAATGTCATCCTTGTAGATCTCTTGAAATCACACTAGTGCCAGATCTCTCCTCAAATCTATAATGACTCCCTCTATTATGGTTTATCTCATCCTGTTCTCCTCTGCTCTTCCCCGTACTCAACTTTCCATGTTTTGTTAGATAGGTTGCTTAATAGTTTCACTAAATTTTAATTACTCCTTGCACAAAATGTCTCTTCTCAGTGAGTCTCCAAGTCTTACATCCTTTAAATGATACTGAAGACATCTAGTGTGGAATGCACTTATTTTTCTTCTGGAGCTCATACAAATGGCTTACATGGTAAGTTAAAAGTGTGCTGTCTCATTTCTTACAGTTTGTGTGCTTTCAAGATGCTCAAAATATTTTCATTTTTTAAAGTATGTAATTTGCTCTATCACAATGAAGATTCATTATCATCAAGAATCTAGTATACTCTATATTTTATATCATTCCCCTTCAATCCCTCCCATGTACTCCTTCATGCACTCTTTCAAACTCTTTGCCTGCATTTCATTGCTATCCATGACTAATATTTTAGATTAAATGTCTCCACAGAGATTTGTAATACCTTTTCTTTTGGTCTGCCCTCATAGACACCACTCCCAACTGTCCAGGATGTAGAAAACATTCCTGGTCACCCTGGAACTTCTTACACTCTGTGCCCATATCTTCTAGAGTGACCAGTAATGCTTCTGCTCCCTATGACACTTACTTTAGGGTCTAAAGTTTATGCAAAATGTGGCCTCACTCTTCTTCATCATGGACAGATAAGGAAGTGCATTCATTCAAACTGATTTTTCCACTCCTCAGCATGGTGTGTTGCTCTGCTTTACTCTCAACTGATGTCCTAGGCAGCCCCTAGATTTCCCAGTATATTTGAAAGATGGAGGCTCTGATGTGTCACTAGCTCCTATAATCTTAACAATGCAAACCCTCTCATCTTACCATGGAACTTCCTTTCATGCTCCGCAGTCTGAGCTTGAATTGTGTATTCCAGAGACTGTCAGATCAGCACCTGTTGCAGGCTCCTGAGCTTCTGGGGTTGTCTAGGTCTCCACTTTTATTGGGTAGAAGGCGGGTCTTCAGAGTTTTGGTGCCAGATGTTGTTGTGCTACATTACTGCTGTTCTCAACAGAGCAGTGTGATGGCAGATTTTCTCTTGGGTTTTGCTGCTTGCTATTAGAATATTTAAGAGAGTGACATTGGACAGTGGCCCTGAGTAATTTACCATTACATTGGCTTTGTTCCAGGGGTTTTTCTTTGTTGCTTTTTAAAAACAAGATGTGGCAAGAGGAGTTTCTCCCTCTTCTCTACCTTTCTTGCCTAACACTTTAGGTAATTATTTGTTTTTCCATTATAACTGTATTATCCATTGTTTGTGTTAGTCTAGTATTTCTTGTTCTGCTTGTTACTGTAATGTTTCCTTGACATTCAGTGTGTCTCACAGTTTTGATTAAATGGATTTTATTTTTTCAGATTGGTGAGGATTCAGTAGAATATTGCTTGTCTCTATTCTGTTATCTTTATCAATAAATATTTCTGAAAGAAAGAATTATCCTTGCTGCTATTAGATGGTTCATAGTCACATGATTCAGATTTGACAGCTCCTTCTTCTAAAATGAAATATCCATGGGAGAATACAAAGAATGAAACATCAATTCAATTTAGGGAGTTTGACCTTAATGCCATATTCTGAGAGATAATTAAAAATATTTTGCAGAAAATAAATGAAATGCTCTCATTGTACTGAGCAAATATCTCATTATTGGTTCATTTCAAAATATCATAATCATTTTAGGGTTTTATCAGATTTAGAAGTAATTGACTGAGGCAGTACATCAAAAGCACATAGAATAAAAAAATACCAAGCAAACCCTAATTCAATGCTCATTTAGGAAATATAGTTGTGAATAGAATATATTAATATTATCTGATATGCTCTTGTATAGATGTATATATAATGGTTTGCATAATGAAACTAACTTATAATTAGAGATCACATTTGTATACATTTAAAATACTAAATTTTTATCAGTTAAAGGAAAGAATTTATCAATTAATATTAGTATAGAATTGACAACATTACTTTCAGTGTTATGTGGTTTTGTTTTGTTAACCAATTAACTCAGCTTTTACTTCTGTTTTAGTACAACTGTTTGTTTAATTTGTACACATCTAAACTCAAGTTATCCATATGAAAATTATTATTTGTGCCACATTAGAAAATGAAGGTTTATGAAATAATAAAAAGTAGGCCATATCTTTCCATTATTTTTACTTTTAGTGTTATTTGCTATCTTTTTAAAGAATATTCCTGATAATGTAGTAACCCAGCTGAAAATTCTCACACCAATATGACTCCATGTTAAATCTAGGAATGCAGGAACACAGAATATAAGAGAAAGTATGAAAACTGAGTGGTTAGTAGATGACAGATTGGAAAGTCTTCTTATTTGGTATGAGCGGAAAATGTTTTAATTGGCATGTTTTTTTCCTCAGAGTCCAAGAAGCTCATTGAAGTGATCCTTTCTTCCCAGTGAAATGGACATATGTTTCTAGGAATCTACAAGAATAGGCTTGTCTTTGCTTCTCTGTCTGATCATGATTCACAAATTCCAGTCATCTTTTCAGTTGTTTTTGTAGAGATTCTACCTTGTCCATGCAATTTCTTGTTAATCTCATGTGAAAATTCAAATGGATTTAAAATTTTGGTTGTTAAAATTCCTTCTGTGAAGGAATTTAAATTTTCATATTGTTAAATAGTCAGTCATACAGAAAAAAATAAAAATTTAAATTAGAAACAATCTTGCTTAACATGTCAATCCCAGTCCCTCACCCTCCTTTCCTCCCCTGTACCACCACCAGGCCCTCCAGTCCCCCAACCAATCCCCACTCCATAGAGGATCTCCAGAGTCTATCATTGGTTCAGGGCATGGCCTAAGTTCTCCCCAAAAAGTCCAGGCTGGGAAAGCATCAGTCATTTTGGAATGGGCACCCAAAGTCCATTTGTATGGCAGGGATAAATGCTGATGTACTACTCAAGGCCTCATAGATTGACTAGGACTTGATGTACCAAATGATGCTGTAACGATAAACGGCACACTTACTGAAAGTAAAACTAAGTATTTATTGTAGAAATTATTCACAAGAGACCAAACAAGTAACCCAGATGAGCCGAGTAGTTTTCTGCCGTCCAACTGGAAGCCAAAAGCCGGAACAAGAGACCAAGACTTCCGTTGTTCAATCTTCTATACCTTCCCCCGTAATGCCCCTTAGCCATGCCCAAAAGTGGGCCTGGGTAGTGACGTAGTTCACTGCCTACGTATGTATACATCTTTATGTCCATCCGTATACGTCTTTAGTCATGCCTAAAGTGGGTGTGGTTAGCCGCTCTTTTATTACCTCATCTGTATGCGCCTCTAGTAAGTCACATGGTTAATGGTGGCATTGTTTTCCTCCTACAAGGACTCCTCACTGACACACACGTTCAGTGAGTCTGGATCAGTTCCATGCTGGCCTCCCAGCTATCAGTCTGGTGTCCATGAGATCCCCCTTGTTCAGGTCAGCTGATTCTGTGTGTTTCTCCAGCCTGTTCTTGACCCCTTTGCTCATCAGTCCTCCCTCTCTGTCACTGGATTCTAGGAGTTCAGTTCAGTGTTTAGCTGTGGGTGTCTGCTTCTGCTTCCACCACAGAAAAAGTACTTTAAAGGCTCCATCTGTGTGTATGTGTGTGTGGTGTGGTCTCTCTCTCTCTCTCTCTCTCTCTCTCTCTCTCTCTCTCTCTCTCTGTGTGTGTACATGTCCCTGTGTTTGAGTGCAATGCCCATGTTCCATAGAAGGGTATGGAAATCAAAAGACAACATTTGCATATCCATCCTAGCACTTCTACATGTCTTCTTTCTTAAAATTGTGATTAAAGAGATTCTTTGGAGTATTTTACGTGTATATGAGAATTCATAACATAAACATTCCCATATGTTCGTATGTATCAATACATGTTCCCACTTCATCATGAATATCCTTCACCAGATTCTAAAACTGTTGTAATCAATGATCTTATATCCACCTATTGCCATCCTAAGTTTGTGACTTGTGTGTTAATAGTATCTATCAATCAAGTACCATGACATCTAGTTGCATTGCCTTTAAAGTCCGACAAGTTCTGTCTTTTTGTCTCTCCTTTTCCCACACATACCACTTCCCTGATTCTTTTTACCATTTACACAAGTTTTTTTTCTATCCAGAATGACATGTAGAATATTACCTCTGCAGATTTGAATCTTTCATCTAATAATATACATGTATTAGTCAGTTGTATTTTCATAACCTGGCCACTCAATTGGGGTTAGCACCAAATATAATTCTGTTGTTTAGACTAATCACTGTTCATTAAACTATTTGCCCACTGAAAGACATTCAGACTATTCCCAGGTTTCATTAGTTATTAGAAAATGTTACTGTTATCCATACTGAGGCTTTAGTGTGGAGATGATATTTAATATCTTGGCTATATAGCAGGAGGCATGTTTACTGGATCATATGTTAAGACTACATTGATAAGCTTTATTACAGATTGCCAAAATGCTCCCCTAAATGGCTTACATTTGCAATACCATTGTAAATGAATTAGCTTTCCTGTTGCATTGTGTCCTTCACAGTACTTAGTGGGGCAGTATTTGGAGTGTGATTTTCCAAAAAGTATTCAATTTCATTTCACAGTCTCTTTGAGAAGTATTATCTGAGTCTTAGGTGTAGGACTGGGCTCCACAACTCTGCATTGGTTGGTTGTTGTTTTCAGCAGTGAACTCTGTTCAAAGAAAGGATTCCTTGATGAAGAGAGAAGACCATTCTTATTTGTAGGTAAAAGAATAATGTTTATAGATTGTTGTTAGGAATATTGCTGTCCCATTCTTGGATGCGGTTTTTATATTTGCTTGTCCAGTTCTATTTTAATCATTAAAATCATTCTCATGTAGGAAAAACCTATAAAATATTGGACACAATATGTCTACTGATAGGAGACATGGAAGACCAAATGAAAACTTGTGATTAGCTTGATTTCTCCAATTTATATAATTAGGGGTCCTATGCTCAGGGAAATGTCCTATCCATAGTGGAAAATGGATCTTCTCCCACCAATTAATGTAGCTGAGTAATTTCTTACAGGCATGCCCAGAGGACCATCACCTGTTGATTCTAGAGTATGTCACATTGACAATTAGCAATAATTATCAGAGCTTCAGTACATCCATCATATTTGCCATGTTGAAACATCATTGCTTCATTGGAGTGAAATCAACTGGATCGTACTGTATAACTTTTCATTGTGCTGCTAAATTTATTTTCCCACTATGTTTGTCAGATGCATTGAACTCTTTCTTCTTTTATTTCTTTATAAATATTTTTTGAGAACTTCACACATGAGCATTGCATCTACATAATTCTCATGCTTCCAAATTCCCTTGTATCCTCCTCTGTCTCAGAAACTCCTACCCCATCCTGTCTCCAATGAATATACAACATACTCTGTACATTACAATTAGCTCTCTGGACATGTGTGCATGCCTGACCACTTTAAAGTGATTAATCTATGTAGGAGCTCTTCTCCGGAGGGCATTGATTCTCTCTCAGTACCCACTGACCACCTGTAGTTTTTCATTTTCATTCCCTTTCATCATTTTCCACAAGGTTGGACCTTGTGGAAATTCCCCATCCATGCCAGTAAGTCAGCTGGTGATACTATTATTTAGGTCTTGTTCATGCAATCATATTGTTGAGATTTTGTGGCTGCCATGTCTAGACGCTGGAGAAGTTCTGGTCCTCTGGCTCTTACAATCTTTCTGACTTCCCATGAGCTTTAGGATTAGTTTGAGGTCATGTTTTAGCTGCATTATGACCCATTGTGAATCTCTGTAGTAGTCTCCATCTGTTGCACTAGGATTATTTTTAGTCAGGGGTGACACTTTACTTATTACTGAAATAGATATAGATATAGGTATAGAAACAGATGCAGATACAGAAATAGATATAGATATACTTATACTATATCTATAAAGAGTTGGCCAGGCTATACTAACAGACATTATCTGTGTGTATGTACAATTAGCCAGCTGTTGGTTGGTCCTGAGTTAGAAGTGTCACTGTTGAATTATTGGATATATCTTGCTGAACAGATTGTTATTGTGATTTATGTGCTATCCAGCTGAATAGGACAATTGATTTGTTTTCCTCACCTGGCAGCTTGCATAATACCTTCCTTTACTGTGACAGATAGTCATCAGATTGAAGGCTACCAGGTTTTGTTCCAGAACAATTCCTCTAAGTTCCTTGTACAATGAACACGTTGTCTTCAGAAATGCTACTCTTTTTAAATGTCTGAAAATCATCCAAGCAGTGACAACAGCCCATATTGTTGGGAGACAATTGCGTCCTCCAACCAAGAACTTGTATGAAGGTTTCCAATGACTGGCACTAGAATTTTCATTAGCTAATTCATGGCTCTTGGTGGACATTTTATGACCTTATATAATCCAACTCCACTAAACATATATCTATATATGCACATATTTATCTCTACATATTTTATCAGTATTATTTTTCTGTACCTTGTGGTTTAAATGATAATTTCCTCCACAGGCTCTGGCATCTTCATTCTCAGTTCCAAGTTGGTGTTAAAGATGGGCAGGGCTAGGAGATGTGGATTTCTTCCATTCATCCATGGGAGAAATAAGTCACTAGATCAGGATTGGAGGTTCTAAAGACTTGCATCATCCCCAGTGAGCTTTCTCTGCTTCCAGCCTGAATTCCACCCGTCATGACTACTGCTTCTCTTCAGATATAATGGACTCTTGTGTCTTTCCCTTTTTAAAAAGTTGCCTTGATTGTGGCTTTTCATCCTAATATAGAACAGTAAATGACACACGTCCTTACCATTACTCATATCTCCTCCCTTCCATTCTCTGCATTACCCTTCTCTCCACTCCCAGTTGAAGTGTTCCTGTTTTTCCATTATTCTTTCCATAGTCCCTGCATCATCCTCTCTATTTACCTGTCTAGGGCTCCTTCTGCCTCTTTGTCCCATGGTCCCATTCTATTTCTTAGTCTTCTATTACTTCAAGTTATATACTTGTATCTAAGAAGCTGCAATTAGTATCTAAAAATAAGAGAGAATATGTTGGCATTTGTGTTTCTGGGCCTGGATTACCCTCAGTACATTTTTGAGGTCCATCCCTTTACATATTAATTTCATGATTTCAGCAGTCTTTATAATTGCGTATAATTCCACTGTGTATATATGCCATTCTCAAAGTTCCTTGGATGTCTTCAGTGGCAACTTTTCAAAACACATTATTTTATCTGAATGTATTCCTATATTTCCTACAAAATTTCTTTTTAATTTTTGGTTTCAATTCTTTTGTTTTGCAGTTTGCTTTGTGTCTAAAACATGTTCCAATTTGGAGAAAATTCTGAGTTTGTTATTTATGTATTCTGCTGGTGTTGGGTGGTAAAAGCTTTCTATACTTACCTGGTAAGGCTATTTGATTTATAATGTAGTTTAAATCTTAAATACCTTGTTAAAGTTTTGGTGTCAATCCTAAGGTATTTTTATGATTAATTAATTATATTTGTGTATTGGTGTTCACGTCCAATATTTATTGTTCTGTGGAACTGGCTGCACTCATATTCATTGCATACCAGTTTACTCTCATCTTTGTTCTTAATATGTTGTTCTGTCTATTGACATATAATGACCTTTGATTTTGCTCTACTGTCTGTGAGTGAAGCTTCTCTTGCTTGCTTCTGCTTTCCAATTGCTTAGAAGACAATGTATTCACTTTCTGTATGTCTTCCAAGAAGTGGTGCTTTTAATAGACAGCAAATAATTCAGGGTCTGCTGTTGGCCAGAACAGCTTCCAACTCGCTTTGTAGCTATGGCAGGCCTTGAATTTCTCTTCTTCCTCCTTCTAAATGGCAAGTACTGGGATGATAGGAATGTTCTGTGATGCCTGGCTCCATTTTGATGTCTTCTAATCAAGGTCTTACCCGACTCTCATTTGCCATTATACCCCAGGGTTTGTTATCTTTCTTTGACCAACCGAGGATACATTTTATTGTATTTTCAATGCTGCATATCTGATTATGAGTTCGTTGAATTTATTTTGAGTTTGATAACCCTTCTTTTTTCTTTAATTCAGAAATATTGCTTTTCAGGTTATAGTGATCTTGATTAGTAGTTGTGTTATTCAATGATATTCTGACTCTTTGAGTTTATGAGGTACCTGCTGTCTTTCTGATTGGTTTGCATTATAAATTAAGGTAAAGGCCTTAGTATTTCAATAGCCTTTGTTACTACAATTCTCTTGGGATTTTTAACTGTATTTCAGGCTGGGTAGTTACTTTGTCGATCACATTTGCTTTGAGTTTCAAATGTCCCCTTACTTAGAGGTCTAAATCTGTAGCAAGAATAGGAAAAGTTTGTTGTCCCACTGAATAACTCTTCTATTTCTTTAGTTTATACTTCTACAGCATCTCCTCCAATAACTTGCCCACTCACCCTACCCCAATTGTTCCTCCTGTCATCTTCACCTTATGCTGACCCCCAACTCCAGTGGAGGTACCCTGATCTTTCTCAGTGTGTGTGTGTGTGTGTGTGTGTGTGTTATGTGATATCTTACAACAGCTGTTCTCTTCAACTCTGAGAATACATATATTTTAGTCTATATCCAATGTTATCATGATTCCCTTATATCTAGTAAACTTAAAAAAAATGTACTACCGTCATCAGTATCCCCACGTCAGCAATGGGGATTTCCAGTCTGTGCTCATTTTAGGCTGTGGAAATTCTTCCTCAGTACCCAAAGGGTGTGGAAATTCTGTGTCTCCTTTAAGCACTGGGCTTTCTGCTTCAGTCACTTTAGTGACATATTCTGCTGATGTCAGCACCACAGGCTTTAGCAAAGTCACTGCAGGAAGATGAGTGATCACCACCTTTCAACATTCTGTGCTGCTGTGGTTACTCTCTCCCACCTGATAGTTAGGTGTATGAAATAAATAAAATGCAATCCCTATGTTTCTACTTACTTTGCTCTTGAGTAGTTTCTAATTTTGTAGGGAATATTCAAGATATTGTGGTGTCTCAGCTGGACATCCTGAAATACATATTAGTTCATGTTAAAACTAGGGATGCAGGAACACAGAAATATATGATAAAAAGTAAAGTCAAAGATTAGAAGATGGCAGATAGGAAGGACTCATTACTTTTATGAGGGAAGAAATTATTTTGATTGGCATGTCCTCTTCTCAGAACCCAGGAAGTCAACTGAAATGACCCTCTCTTCCATGTGAACTGGAAAATTTTCTCTAAGAAGCCAAAAGGGCAATGTAGGCTCATATTTGTTTCTTCTCTGTCTGTCAATGTTTCACAAATTTCAGCCATTCTTCGCTTGTTTTTAGGAGAGTTTCTACCTAGTCCCTGATATTCCTTGTTAATTTCAAAGGGTTTTACATTTTGATATTAATGTTTCTTCTGTGATATATTTAAGTTGCAGATATTTTCTTTTGGTTTTAATTTGTCATTTGTTCAATTATTCATGCATAACAATAATTTTTAAAGGTTGTGTGTATGTATGTGTGTATGTGTTTCGTTTGTGTATGTGGTATGTGTGGAGTGTGTAGTACGTCTGTTTGTGTATGCATGATCCTGTGTGTAGGTGCAATATCCATGTTTGTATGGAAATCAGAGGATAACCTTTACGTGTCCATCTGAGCAGTCCTACCTGTCTTCTTTTTAAAAACTATGATTAAATAGACTTTATTACTGGAGTATTTTAGGTGCATATGAAAATTCATAATATAAACATTCCTATATGCTCCTGCCAACCAAAACACACATGCATACTCACAATATTATTCACAAAATTCTAGAATTGGTACATTCAATGAGTTTATATTCCTTGGGTGTACTCAATAGTCATGCTTACTGGATCATATGTTGAGAATACCTTGATTGGTTTCATTAAGATTGTGAAAATATATCCCAACATGGCTTTATGCTTTACAACACCATGATAAATGAGTAAGTGTCCTGTGTCACTATGTTCTTCACAGCATTAAGTGGTGCTGTGCCTGGAGTTTTTTCATCCAAACATGCATGTATTTCATTTCATACTTTTTTTTTGTTTTTATGAGACAGGGTTTCTCTGTATTGTTTTGGAGGCGTTGGTCCAGCCTGGCCTCGAACTCACAGACATCTGCCTGCCTCTGCCTCCCGAGTGCTGGGATTAAAGACGTGTGCCACCACTGCCCGGCCTCATTTCATACTTTTTATTTTCTCTTCCCTGTAGTATTTTCTCTGTGCAACATTCTCAGAGCCTTAGGTGTGGGACTGCGCTTCACAAGGTTGCCTTTTGTTGGTTGTGGTTTCTGTAGTGGACTCTGTGAAATGAGAATTTTCATTGATGAAGAGAGAAGACTACTATAACCTGCAGTTAAACTAATGTTTATAGATTTTTTTATTTAAATTAGAAACAAGATTGTTTTACAAGTCAATCCCAGTTCCTTCTCCCTCCCCTCACCCCTTGTCCCCTACCTGTTGTTATTATGCTTAAGATCAGAGATTAGAAATTAGAAAGGGGGCACAGAAGGTGAAAGGTGAAATACAAGCATGAGCACAGAACGGGGTTGGGGCGATACAGCACAGGCCATGGAGAGCATGTTAACTGTAGTTTATTATAGCAGAGGGAGACCAAAGGGGGAGACAGACATCACAGAGAGAGAGAGTGAGTGAGTAAGAGAAGAGTAAGATGAGGGAGAAGTGAGATAAGAGAAAAGAGAGGAGGAATGTAAGAGGAGCAAGAGAGATAAGACAGTGGAAATGGGCAGGGGTATTTCTTAAAGGGGTCCTTTACACCTGCATGCAGACTGGTTCTCATGGAACTCTGGGCTGGCCAGAGTGCTGCCTGAGTGTATTCTGCCAGGTGACAGGGGCAGGCCAGCATAATGTCTGAACCTTTCACCCCACCTTACTTATTAATAAAAAGAGGTGGGGTGGTAGATAAATAGGGGAAAAGGGTGTTGAGTTCTTAAGACTGCTTCCTGCTGACCTTTGGGGAGTTTTCCATGTGGTGGACCTGAGAAAGCTGGGGTGCTGCCATGTCCTGGGGTAGCTGGTTGATCCATTGCAGTCCAGGCTGTATGGAACTCTCTAGTGCCTCTTAGACCTGGCAAGATGTGAGCAGAGTAAAGGAGAAGGTTAAGTTTAGAAAAATTTTTTCTTAGGTCCTGGTATTTGAGGGGAAGATTGTAAGATGAGGGGAAGAGTTCCAGAGGGGTCCCAAGGTGAGGAGAGGGAATTCCAGAACCAGGGAGAAATTGAATAATATCTGACTTGTTTGGATATGTCCAATTAGGTTCCCCGGAACTTACAAGAATCCTTTAATTTTGTGAAAACATAAGTATTAGATACATTAGCATCATATTTATGTTAGAAGTGACTGTTAACAGCATTAACATTTTTGAAACTGACATACATTTTTTTAGCATAAGGAAAAGTATCTTAATTTTGACATTGCAGTTATGATCATATAGTGGTATAGATTTTTTTAGCATAATAAAAGTACCTTAATCTTGACCTTGCAGTTATGATTGTATAGTGGTATAGTTGTTTAGTACTCTGTTGGAGTTAGGTTAGTAGCTTATCAGAACGTTATTAATATTAACACTATGAACAGTAACATAATGAAAGAGAGAAATCTGGAACATATTACATTCTTTTCAATGTCTCAACTCACTTTATTACATTACCATCTTATATAGATAAACCTTAGAATACCTGTTCCTGAAATCTGTTTTGTGACAGAGCTTTGCCTTGTCTGTTACTTTAAGCTGGCAAAGCTTCTGGTCGTCAAAAGAATCAGAGTTCTTGAGAAGGATAAAATGTTACCTGACATTGGAGAATGAGAGACTCACTTGCTGACTACCTGGACACCCACCCACACCCAAGGTCCTTCACAGTTGTTGATAGCAAAGAATTTTAAGGACACCTGCCTTCTGCTGATAGTGAGACCTATGGATTGGGGACTTTAGGAAGACTTCCCTATCACTGACCCAAGGAACATGGAGAAAAGTAGATTTCTTTGTCCTCTTGCCCACTGAAGAATCCTTTGTAGCAGTTGAGATGAAGGGCAGGGTGGGTCAGTGACCATTGTTAGTACTTTTGTGGGTGAAGTTTCTTCAGTGCCAACCAGTCTTCTTGGAGGAAATGGGGTGGTGCCAGCAGCTTGCCTGTCTCTCTGTCATAAAAAGCTTTTTAATAAAACATTTAAATGCCATGTCCTCTAGATCTCTGAACATTTGAGGGCTGTCTGTCTGTTTAGTATATCTTAGCAAACAAAATTTATCTTTAGTGACTTGCCTTAAGCGCATAGGTACTAGAGAAAAATTCCCTTTTGTAATAGCTTTACCTTTGTAAACAGCTTACAGGAAGGACTGGGTGGTATAAATACTGTTAATTTGAAATAGATCTTTACAACTTTAAACATGACAATTAAATTTAAGTTAACAGAGATAAGCAGATAAATCGAACAGGACTGGATAAAAGTAAAAGGCAAAACCAGAGTGTAATTTCTGATTCTCACGTTGTAACAGACAGACAGATTTAAAGAGACAGAATCAGTGATTTGCTGGAGATAGAACAGGGTGACCTGGAAAGGAACAGTATTCCATAAACAAGCCATGCTCAACAGGGCTGTTGAAGGAAGAAATTAGAGGCAAAAATAAAAGTGCAAATGAATTGTATCTGTCAGTAGGGTTTGCAGGCAGAACCTGGCTAGACTGAGTGGGCATGCCTACAGCTAGCCTGCATGGTAAACATGGCAGCTCCATAAGCACATTTCCAGCAGAGGTGGCCTTTTTTCTCCACGAGTGAGGCAGAAAGATGTGTGACTACCATAGGTCTAAGAGACGAATGAATGACCAGTGCTGGGGTATAAACCCGAGAGACCCCTTGTGGGTCTGAGTAGTACAAAACCTGAAAACTTCAAACCTTATTCATGGGTGAAAAATGAAGAACTCTCAGAGCATCCTGAGCAGACGCTAACCTAGGCCAGGCCATTGTGAGCTGCTGGCATCTATATGTAGAAGAAACACGGTAGAAACTGGATGTAAAAGAGGAATTCGCCATTCCAAGCTGAATGAACAGGAGAGGGACAAAAGAGGACATTCATGGGTGGAAGGTGGTTCCCACCCTGAGACAGGTTTAGCCGTGGTGGGAAGCCTCTGTGGCCGGCGGGAGTTTTAGCATGCAGGGAAGAGAAAAGCAGGACAAGTGAGGAAGAGTAGAGGCCCCATTTCTAACCATGGGTCACTGGTAGAATGTGGGTGCCAAAAGCGGGCACATGCTTGTTATTGGAGGACGCTTCCATGAGATTGGCAGAGATCCAAAACCTATAATCTCCAGCGTCCCAGAGACTGAGGGGGGGATGGGTGCAAAAGGCAACAACTGATTTCCAGGATTCGTCAAGCATGGATCAAGTGCCGAGGTGCCAAGGTTCTGGAGCCGAGAGACACGTGTGGCCACCCAGTACTGGGATTTTTCGACTGGTCTGAAAATGAGAGAGACCACAATCTTTTTTTTTTCAATTTATTTTTTTTAAATAGCTTGTTTTACATGTCAATCCCAGTTCCCTCTCCCTCCCCTCCTCCCGCACTCCCCTTCCACCCTCCCTCCCACCCTATTGCCAAATCCTTCCACATAGGGGATATCTAGAGTCTATCATTTTACTCTTGGTAGGGTCAAGGCACTCCCCTAAGAGTCCAGGCTGAAAGAGCATCTCTCTTTGTGCTATAGGCACATGAAGACAGATTGTATACCAGGGATAGACACTGATCCACAGCTCAGGGCCCCATAGGTTGCCCAGGCCTTCTCACTGACACTCACATTTGGGGGGTCCAGATCAGTCCCATTCTGGCCTCCCCACTGTCGGTCTGGGGTCCAAGAGCACTCCCCCTGTTCAGATCAGCTGTCTCTGCTGGTTTTGCCAGCCCATTCTTTGCCAATTTGCTCATCACTCCTCTCTCTCTGTCACTGGGTTCCTTGGGTTCAGTTCAGTGCTTAGTTGTGTGTTTGCCTCTGCTTCCATCAGTCACAGGATGAAGGCTCCTGGATGGTTATAGACATCAAGTTCATTATCAGGAATGGGCATTCGAGGTGGTCCTTCCACTATTGCTTAGCTTGGCAATTGATGTTATACCTTTAGATCACTCGAGGTCACTCTGGTGCCTGATCTGTCTTCGATCCTATGATTCCCTCTTCCCCTATTTTACCCCCACCCCCTCAACTTCCTGTTCCCCCATGACCAACTCCCTTCCTCTTTACCCCCTCTATTCTTCCCAGGTCCCAGTACCCCCCCCCTCGCCGTGTTCCCCATCCATTCAGAGGATCTTGCTGGAGAGGATGTGGAGAGAGAGGAACACTCCTCCACTGCTGGTGGGAATGCCGACTCATACAGCCTCTTTGGAAATCAGTATGGAGATTCCTCAGGAAAATGGGAATTAATCTACCACTAGACCCAGCAATTCCACTCTTAGGCATATATCCAAAAGATGCCCATTCATACAACAAGGGCATCTGCTCCACTATGTTCATAGCAGCATTGTTTGTAATAGCCAGAACCTGGAAGCAACCTAGATGCCCCTCAACTGAAGAGTGGATAGAGAAAATGTGGTACATTTACACAATGGAGTATTACTCAGCAGAAAAAAACAATGGAATCTTGAAATTCACAGGGAAATGGATAGCACTGGAAGAAACCATCCTGAGTGAGGTAACCCAGTCGCAAAAAGACAAACATGGTATGTACTCACTCATATATGGATTTTAAATATGGATCAGGATAGTGCCAGTCTGCACTTCCACAGATAGAGAGTCTGGGAAACAGGAAAGAACCTAAAAGATATGCATATATGCATAGTACCCAAGAGAAGAGGATGGAGAGACCACAATCTTGATAAGTCCTAACTCATGGACGCAAGGGAGGGGTGGCTTTCCAGACATGGTGATGGTGGATGGAAGAATCCAGAGATTCTTAGTTGGAAAAGGAACAGAATTCATAGGTTGTTGGCATCTCAGACAGCCAAGGCAGGAGGAGATGCCAGAAAAACCTGCTGAGTCACAGTACCATAAATGTTGTTATTTTGCTTAAGATTAGAAATTAGAAGGGGGCGAAAGAGTGAAGCATATAAGGTAGTCATCAATCTCATTATCGGGGAAGGGCATTTAAGGTAGCCTCTCCGTTATTTCTTAGATTCTTAGTTGGGGTCATCCTTGTAGATCTCTGGACATTTCCCTAGTGCCAGAATTCTCCTTAAACCTATAATGACTCCCTCTATTATGGTATCTCTTTTCTTGCTCTTCTCTATTCTATCCCTGACTCAATCTTCCTGCTCCCTTTTGTCCTCCTCTCCCCTCCCCCATGCTCTCAATTAGCTCAGGAGATCTTTTCTTGTTAGAAATATCATGCCACCATGTAATGTAACTACACTGAATATATATGCACACATACACTCTCACAACACACACACACACACACATTTTTCTGCACCGTGTGGTGGTTTTAGTGATAATTTCCTCCACAGACTATGACATTTGCACACTCAGTTTTCAGTTGGTGATACTTATTAAGGAGGTCTAGGAGATGTGGTATTGATGGAGGAATTAAGTCACTGGATTAGGATTTGAAGTTGCAAAAACATCCATCCTTTCAAGTGACGTTTCTCTGCCTCCTTGGTGAGTTCATCCTAGAGGCCCATTGTCCCTGGTGTGCAAACATGAACTATTGTGCCTTTGGAATTATTATTAAACCCCTTTCTCTATAAATTGCATTGATTGTGGCATTTTTATCATAAAATAGAAAAGTAAAGGGTACATCTGTCATCTATCTGTTCCGCCTTCCTCCCCCCCTTCATTACCCTTCTCTCCCCCCAATTAAATTTCCACTATTTCCCACTTACTTTTTTTTTTTACAGCATCCATATCATCCTATCCTTTCCCTAGAGTCTTTTCATCCTTTTTGTCCCCAGGATCCTTTTATACTTTCCTAGTCTTCTGTTACTTGAAGTTACATACCAATCTACATATTTAGAATTAGTATCTACAAATAAGAGGGAAAATGTTGACATTTGTCTTTCTGGGTCTGGGTTACCCTCACTTAGTATAATACTATCTAGTTCCATCCATTTACCTGTAAACTTCATGATTTAATAATCTTTACTGTTGAGAATAATTTCATTACATGTATGGATCATATTTAATGCCCCTATGATATCTCAGTGACCTCTAATCATTTAAAAAGGCATTGTTTTACTTGACATGCTCATATAAGGACAAATACTTTATCAGTCCCTTATCTGAGGTTAGTAAGAATTTAACTGACTTGAATGAATATGAACATTAAGCTTAGATTTACTTTTCTTCTCCACAGGGAGAAAGGGGCATATGTTTGCTTGGACAAAACTTGACTTGGCAAAATTCATTCATAGATGAGAAAGTGTCTCATAGGATCAATGCCAAGACTAGGAAGTCATTGGCAGTTACTAGCTGCTAGAAGAGAGAGAGTCAGCTACTGCAGCTTAGCCATTGGTGACTTGACTTTGGTCCAGGGATCACGTCTATGACCATATTTGTAACCTTGGTAAAATCCAGTGAGCTCCAAAACAACAAAACAAAAAGACATGAGGCAGGAGAGTGATTATTGGGATCTGAGTTTATATTTCATGGGAGATGGAGGGAAATAAGAGAGTCTGAGAAGTAAGTGTGATCAAAATGCACCATATGCTTGTACGAAATTACAAAAAAAATGATAAAGGGAAAACACCCTGATAGTTAATATTTTGTAACCACAAATGTTCATAGTTTGAAGCATAAAACATCTCCATACAGTTTTGATCAGACTACAGTGAGGAAGAATGAATAGCCATGGCGATTTTATTGGGACTCCTTCCATGAAACAACATGTACATTTGAATAAGGGAGGTTAGGCCAGTAGTTTTGTAGTGATGCTAATTACTAGCCAGCTGCCTGCTCCTTCCACATCTGGTTCAGTACACTTTCTTTGCTGCCTCGGGTCATTTTTAACATGTTACTGGAAGGAGGATAGGGGACTTTTTTGTGTTTTCGTCTTCACTGTCTTTGTATTTGGGTGGTTCACTAAAGACAGTGAAAACTGGAAAGACAGCAACAGTAGGAAGGGCATCAGGGGACTCCTAGTTAAATTTAATGGAAAAGGAGCACAGTCATTGCTAAGTTTAAGCATTCCTCCAAAGGGTAGAGTGACAGTGACATATATTCTTGTTGGTGCCTAACTCTGGTCCCTTGGAGCCTATGGACCATATTACTGAAGTTTACTGGGTCCCCTTGATAATCACAGCATTTTCTCAGGGAAGTTAAGAGAATAGACAGGTCTAACTTGTGTTTGTTATCATTGGTCGGGTCTTCAAGTGCTGTTTGGTATTGATGAGATGCACAGGGGCTCCTCTGCAAGATATCTTTGATATTTAGTTCACATGGGCAGTCGATTTTGTCCAAGTCAGTCTTGACACGTGTCTTGTGATCAGCAGATATGATTGATTCTTTCTGAGTATGTGTCAGAACCTGAGGTAGAGATATTTTTTAAACAGGGATTATAGTGAGAGACTTAAGACCTACCCATTTGAATTTGTGTAAGATACAATAAGATGGGAGGAGGCTGTGTAGTTATGACTTATTCTAGAGGACAAAGGGAACACTGGCTCCTTGTCATCTGCAGTTAGAGAGGATTTGACTCAGTGTAAGAGCAGGCATTCCATTTGGTACTCTACCACGAATATTTCACACATTAGGAGTGTGGAACACATTCTCTATGGTTGCTCCACACCCATCTTTCAGATATAAACACGCGCACGCACACACACACACACACACACACACACACACACACATCCCACACACAATCTTCTAGTGTATTTGGGGAGAGTGAATTGATCTAGTGAAGTGACTGTGTCTCAGTTTGTTCAGGTTACTGGTAGAAATGCAACTGATGAGCTATTAGCACTGGTTCACACTGACACATTATCTTGTAGATATATCTATGTAGGAATTTATTTGCGGTAGTAGAATACCTGTGAATGGTCTGAACCAGGTCTAAGGTTGAATCTCCACAACAATTGATAGCCTGTGCACAAGAACATGTATAAACAAGCACAGTGCTATTTTATATTTTCTCTGATATTTCAAGGTGAGGAAATTGTGGAAAAACCAGATTCAATTCAATTTTCCATTCTGTGTACCATGCCTTATTTTGCTATTCCTTGTTCATAGCTTTCATCTTACTGCAGCATATCAGGGTGGTTATTATGTAGACAAAAATATAAAGATACCTTAGAAGTGCCGTTTTGTTCAAAGGAATTGCAAGTTATGCTAATTTTTCTTATATTCAAATCATTTTTTATTTTTTCCTCCAATACGAAAATATAGATACAATTAATGAATTGGATATCTAGTCTATTTAAGCTTAATCAGTTAGTTTGTTAAATGGGTTATTTCATATTTACATTACATTACATTAAGGTTTAAACCCTCCACTATTGCACAAAATGTCCTTTCTCAATGAGTTACTAAGTCCTACGACTTTTAGATGCTGTCCTTCTAAATTAAAGGTGCCATTTTATATAATGTGGATACATTGTAAATCTTCAAAATGCTATTTTAAGTGTATAATTTACTTCAAAATGTTATTTGGCTGAATGACAATGGAGAGCCATTATCAGTAAAGATTTATTAATTAATTAACTTTTTATTTATTGTTCACACTGTGTTCTGCCTGTATACATGGCTGCAGGCTAGAAGAGGGCACCAAAACTCATTACAGATGGTTCTGAGCCACCATGTGATTACTGGAAACTGAACTGAGGACCTTTGGAGGAGCAGCCAGTGCTTTTTACTTTGTTTCATCTCTTCAGTCCTCATTTTACATTTTTAATTTTTATTTTTATTTATTTTTAAATTTAAATTTAAATTAGAAACAAGATTGCTTCACAAGTCAGTTCCAGGTCCCTCTCTGTTTCCCTCCCCTCCTCCCGTGCCATTCCCCCAACACCCGAAATATACCCTCATCTCCCCAGGGAGGGTGAGGCCCTCCATGGGGGTGTCCATAGTCTGTCATTTCATCCATGGCAGGGCCTAGACCCTCCCCCATGAGTTCAGGGTGAGAGTGCATCTCACATTGTTGGTTAGGAGCCCAAAGTCAATTTGTATACCCGGGATAAATACTGATCTACTGCCCAAGGCTCAATAGATTACCTAGGCCTCCTCACTGACACCCACATTCAGGGGGTCTTGATCAGTCCCATGCTGGATTCCTAGGCATCAGCCTGGGATTCAAGAGTTAACCCTTGTTAGATCAGCTTTTTCTGAGGGTTAAACTAGCCCAGTCTTAATCCCTTTGGTCATCAGTCCTCCCTCTCTGTTACTGGCTTTCTTGAGTTCAGCTCAGTGCTTAGCAGTGGGAGTCTACCTCTTCTTCCAACAGCCACTCAATGAAGGTTCTGTTTCCCAGACTCTCTGGCCATGGGATCGTAGGCTGGCACTCCCTAGGTCTATGTCTAAAATCCATATATGAGCGAGTACATGCCATGTTTCTCTTTTTGTGACTGTGTTATCTCACTCAGGATGGTTTCTTCTAGTGCCATCCATTTGCCTGCAAATTTCAGGATTCCATTGTTTTTTTCTGATGAATAGTACTCCATTGTGTAAATGTACCACATTTTCTCTATCCACTCTCTGGTTGAGGGACACCTAGGTTGCTTCCAAGTTCTGGCTAATACAAATAATGCTGCTATGAACATAGTGGAACAGACATCCTTGTTGTATGAATGGGCATCTTTTGGATATATGCCTAAGAGTGGAGTTGCTGGGTCTTGTGGTAGGTTTATTCCCATTTTTCTAAGGAATCTCCATACTGATTTTCAAAGTGGCTGAACAAGGTGGCACTCGCACCAGCAATGGAGGAATATTCCCCTTTTACCATAAATTGTCGTTGGTGTTTTTGATTTTAGCCATTCTGAAAGGAGTGAGATGGTATCTCAGAGTCATTTTGATTTGCAATTCCTGGGTGTCGAGGGATGTTGAGCACTTTCTCAAGTGTGTCTCAGCCATTTTAGACTCCTCTATTGAAAATTCTCTATTTAGTTCTGCAGTCCACTTTGTAATTGGATCCTTTGGTGTTTTGGAGACTTCTTGAATTCTTTGTAAATTTTGGAGATCACCCCTCTACCAGATGTGGGGTTAGTGAATATTTTTTCCCATTCTGTGGGCTGCCTTTTTGTCTTTCTGACTGTGTCCTTTGCCTTACAGAAGCTTCTCAGTTTCAGGAGGTCCCATTTTTTAATTGTTGATCTCACTGTCTGTGCTACTGGTGTTATGTTCAGGAAGCTGTCTCCTGTACCAATTCATTCAAGGGTACCACCCACTTCCTCTTCTAAGAGGTTCAGTGTGGCTGGATTTATGTTGAGGTCTTTGGTCCATTTGGACTTAAGTTTTGTGCATGGTGATAAGCATGGATCGATCCGCATTCTTCTACATGCCAGCCTCCAGTTATGCCAGCACCATTTGTTGAAGATGGTTTCTTTTTTCCATTGTATATTTTTAGCTTTTTGTCAAAGATAAGATGTTCATACATGTGTGGGTTAATATCAGGGTTTTCAATTTGATTCCATTGGTGTATCTGTTTATTTTTGTGCCAATACCAAGCTGTTTTCAGGATTATAGCTCTATAATAGAGCTTGAGGTCAGGGATGGTGATGCCTCCGGATGTTGCCTTGTTGAACAGGGCTGTTTTGGCTATCCTGGGTCTTTTGTTTTTCCATAAAAATTGATTATTGTTCTTTCAAGGTCTGTGAAGAATTGTGCTGGGATTTTAATGGGGATTGCATTGAATCTGTAGATTGCTTTTGGCGGGAGCCATTTTTACTACATTGATCCTACCTATCCAAGAGCATGAGAGACCTTTCCATTTTCTGAGGGCTTCTTTAATTTCTTTCTTTAATGATTCAAAGTGTTTGCAATACAGGTCTTTCACTTGTTTGGTTATCGTTACCCCCAAGGTATTTTATGTTGTTTGTGGCAATTGTAAAGGGTGATGTTTCTCTGATTTCTTTCTCAACCCTTTTATCATCTGTATATAATAGGGCTACTGATTTTCTTGAGTTGATCTTGTAGCCCCCCACCTTGTTGAAGGGGTTAATCAGCTGTAAGAGTTCCCTGGTAGAGTTCTTTGGGTCATTTATGTAAACTATCATATCATCTGCAAATAGTGAAAGTTTGACCTCTTCCTTCCCAATTTGTATCCTCTTCATCCCCTTTTGTTGTCGTATGGCTCTGGCTAGAACTTCAAGTGCAATGTTGAAAAGTTATGGAGAGAGTGGACAGCCTTGTCTTGTTCCTGATTTTAGAGGAATTGCGTTGAGTTTCTGTTCTTTTTAGTTAGATGTTGGTTGTTGGTTTGCTGTGTATAGCTTTTATTATGTTTAGGTATGTTCCTGTTATCCCAGATCTCTCCAAGACCTTTATCATGAAGGGGTGTTGTATTTTGTCAAATGGTTTTTCAGCACCTAGTGAGATGATCATGTGATTTTTGTTTCTCAGCTTGTTTATATTGTGGATTACATTGATGGATTTTTGTATGTTGAACCATCCCTGCATCCCTGGGATGAAACCTACTTGATCGTGGTGAATGATTGTTTTGATGTGTTCTTTGATCTGATTTGACAGTATTTTATTGAGTATTTTCGCATCAATGTTCATGAGGGATATTGGTCTGAAATTCTCTTTCTTAGTTGCGTCTTTGTGTGGGTTGGGGATCAAGGCTATTGAAGACTCATAGAAAGACTTTGGCAAAGATCCTTTTGCTTCTATTGTGTGGAATACTTTGAGAAGAATTGGCATAAGCTGTTCTTTGAATTTCTGGTAGAATTCTGCACTGAGGCCATCTGGACATGTGCTTTTTTTGATTGGGAGACTTTTGATGACAGCTTCTATTTCCATAGGGGTTATAGGTCTATTTAAATTGCTTATCTGTTCTTGATTTAATTTTGGCAAGTGATAGCTATCCAGGAAGTCATCCATTTCCTTTAAATTTTTGAATTTTATGGAGTACAGGTTTTCAAAGTATGACCTGATGATTCTCTGAATTTCCTCAGAGTCTTTTCATTTCTGATTTTGTTAATTTGCATGTTCATGCTCTGCTGTTTGGTAAGTTTGGACAAAGGTTTGTCTATCTTGTTGATTTTCTCAAAGAACCAACTCTTCGTTGCATTGATTCTTTGTATTGTTTTCCTAGTTTCTACTTTATTGATTTCAGCCCTCAATTTGATTATTTCCTGGCATCTACTCCTCATGGCAGAGTTTGCTTCTTTTTGTTCTAGAGCTTTCAGCTGTGCTGTAAATTCTGTAGTATAACTATTCTCCAGTTTCTAATACCTTATGCTGACATTTTAAACAAAAGAAATAGATAAGAAACCATAATGGAGAGACTACATTAAATTCCCCTCCTTGATGGCAAGATTGATGACTACCTTATATGCCATCCTAGAACCTTCATTCAGTGACTGATGGAA